TCTCTGTCTGTCTGTCGGCTCGCTCTCCGTCTGTCTGTCGGCTTGCTCTCAGTCTGTCTATCGGCTCGCTCTCTGGCTGTCTGTCTGTCTTTCTGTCGGCTCACTCTCTGTCTGTCTGTCTGTCTGTCTGTCGGCTCGCTCCGTCTGTCGGCTCGCGCTCTGTCTGTTTGTCGGCTTGCGCTCTGTCTGTCTGTCGGCTCGCGCTCTGTCTGTCTGTCGGCTCGCGCTCTGTCTGTCTGTCGGCTCTCTGCCTGTCTGTCGGCTCGCGCTCTGTCTGCCTGTCTGTCGGCTCGCTCTCTGTCTGTCTGTCTGTCAGCTTGCTCTCTGTGTGTCTGTGTGTCTGTCTGTCCGTCTGTCGGCTCGCTCTCTGTGTGTCTGTCTGTCTGCTGTCCATCTGTCGGCTCGCTCTCTGTCTGTCTGTCGGCTCACTCTGTCTGTCTGTCGGCTCGCTCTGTCTGTCTGTCGGCTCGCTCTGTCTGTCTGTCTGTCTGTCTGCTCGCTCTCTGGCTGTCTGTCAGTCGGCTCACTCTCTGGCTATCTGTCGGCTTGCTCTGTCTGTCTTTCTGTCGGCTCGCTCTGTCTGTCTGTCTGTCTGTCGGCTCGCTCTGTCTGTCTGTCTGTCGGCTCACTCCGTCTGTCTGTCGGCTCAATCTGTCCGTCTGTCGGCTCGCTCTCTGTGTGTCTGTCTGTCTGCTGTCCATCTGTCAGCTCGCTCTCTGTCTGTCTGTCGGCTCGCTCTGTCTGTCTGTCTGTCGGCTCGCTCTGTCTGTTGGCTCACTCCGTCTGTCTGTCGACTCAATCTGTCCGTCTGTCGGCTCGCTCTCTGTGTGTCTGTCTGTCTGCTGTCCCTCTGTCGGCTCGCTCTCTGTCTGTCTGTCGGCTCATTCTGTCTGTCTGTCAGTCGGCTCGCTCTGTTTGTCTTTCTGTCGGCTCGCTCTGTCTGTCGGCTCACTCCGTTTGTCTGTCGGCTCAATCTGTCCGTCTGTCGGCTCGCTCTCTGTGTGT